GTGACTATGTTCTGGTACCTCTTGTGATCTTGTGTCAGTGGAAAGCATTGGAAACTTTCAGGCTGACCTTCCTTGTAAGAGATACTCTCTGCTGTACCTAGGTCCGTATCTTCCGTGCTTTGATTTGCAGTATTTCAGCCTTTGTGGTACTGTACTGTTACAAATCCCAAGTCATCATTGCTCTAAAGAAACACTGTAAATGTACAGAATTCAGACAATTGTTAAATTAATGGAAAGTCCATCTTTCCTGAGTCATTGCAGCTTTTATTGTTGAAAAGTTAATGTTTTTCCATATTCATTAAGGAACAGGAAACTTGTAGCAATATGTGAAATAGTGCGGCTGACTCTTCACAAATGCGTAAACAGTAAACTTAAGGCATTTTGTCATCTTTGTTATGATCATCTTTGATGCAAAACAGGAATTTTTGGTGGCAAAGAAATCTGTTGTAAAGCGTTACCTTTTTTTTAACATTGTATTTTCTCTGAATAATTTAGAATATATTTTTCCAGTGCTTACACTTGACCTTGTTTTTACAGTAAATGTGAATGTGGTCACTCTACAGCATCTCTGCTAATATGTGCAACTTCCATAGAAATTCAGGTGCTTGCATGCTGTTCTCGTTTGTCTTAGTACTGACTGATAGCTTTTTTTCCCTCACCTCTGATCCCTTTACCTTTCATCCTATATATAAGAAATAGTGATAGAACAGAGACATCAAAGATGGTACAACGAGATCAGTCTTCAGTCGTGCATAACCTGCATTAGTGTATCCCTCTCATATCATAAGAGGAGATATCTCCCAGTGTTTTTGCTATGAGGTCTTAAACAGTAACAGTTTGCTTCGCTTACGCTGTTTCAGTAAGGCTGCTGGAGGTCTCTATACGGCTACCTGCCTATGGTAATTTGAAGCTCATTTGTGACCAAAAGGGTAAGGCTGTACTTGATGTACTTGATCATTCGATGTTTTTTGGTTTTGTTTTTTTTTTTTTAATGCTTGCTAGCAAATGTCTTGCACTTCACTTCCTATTGTTGGATGCCCTTTTTGTTGACTTCTTAAAAGATTGACTCTTCTGAGGTTTCCTCTTACGTTCGGATAACCTCAACCTTTAACCATAATGACTTTTGATTTGGTTTTGCATTTCCATTTTTGTCTGTGGTATACGTTCCTTTTGTGATTGCTTTGGTAGCTGCAATAGCTTCCCTGTTGAATAGAACTGCAAGTCACAGTTTTTTTTCCTGAAGGGGGTCAGCAGTCTACGTTACAACTGCTGTTAGTTATGTCTCGTCCCAGTGAGGTGTATCTAATAAAGCGTTCCCTTTGTTCTTAAGTACTGGTTATCTCCTCTGTGTTAACAGCGTTATTTTCCCTGCAACCTTACCTTTCAACCACTCTATTGATTAAACCCGATAAAGACTTAGGTGAGACAGACAGTCTTTCAAATCATGGCATCTTTCCACAAGGATTTCAAATAATATGTAATACTGGAAGTTAAGGGGATCTTAGAAGTGCTGTGCAGAAGTCTACCCAGTGTAAATGCCAGAAGTTCCACTGCATCATCTAACTCAGTAGGTTGTATGTGGACATGAAGATGTCCCTGATAAGTCTTCTCAGGTATTAGTTCCTTCAACAAGCTATTCTAACATTACTTCCTACAACTTTAGCTCTCATTTCTATTTGTCACTTGTAACAGCCTAAGGTCAATTTTCACATACGCTGGAATGGGCTATATCCATTTCAGTGTACCAAAAAGGTTTTCACTGTAGTGACTAGTCTGTAAGTTGAGCCCTAATTACTTGCTGAAGAGCGTAAAGTGCCCCAGCTGGGTGGCCTAGCTACCAGCTTGCAGGACTAGGCTCCTTTAGACTTATTTTCCTCCTCTTCCCATAATTCTTTGTGCTTCTGGCTGTACAGTGCCTTGGTTTCAATAGCTGGCTCGTTCTGTACGCATTTTTGCACTAAAGATCTTTTAATGTAATCCTAGAAAGTTTAAATACCATTTGAGTTGAACTGGTATTATTGCTTGCAGAGTTTCAGTACAGGCAAAATCCTGCTGGCTAGATGTTCTGGATGTTTTGGGTTTTCTTCACGCTAGACAGCGTTCATGATAGGTATCTACCTGACCTACCTGAGCACCAGGAATGAACCAGAACTTGGCCACACCTGAGTTCTCTACTCGTGTTAGACCTAGGATACATATTTTCAGGAGGTTGAGATGTATAGACTTCAATAACTTTTTAAAGCCATTTCATTAATATGGTTGCAATCTGTTACATAACACAGCTTGTGGATTATAAAAAAATTTTTGGCACAAAAGACTATGTTTATCTCGCTTATAAAATGCAGCCTCTACCTCAGTGCTTTTGTGTGTGTGTGTGATGAATACCTGTTAATTCTTTTCCTCCTAAAATTTAACTCTTCATGCTTGGTGGGTTTTTCTTGGAGCACAAATTTCTTTTTTTATCAGCCGTCCAAGTTTTTGTCAACTGACTGACTTGATTTACTTAAGCAGGTGCAGTCCCAATGGAGATATTTTTTTGTTTGGAGTACAGCTTTATTTTGATTAAATTCAATAAGGAGTTAGTACAACTGGAATAAAAGTGCTCTATTTCAATCATAACATAACCATGTTGTAGATGGTTATTCCAAAGGTGTTTGTCATACTTCTTGTAGAGAAAATCTAAACCACAGTCAAGCTAAATGTCGAAAGGCCATTGAGCTACTTTGGGGTTTTTTTTCTCTCTTAAGGGTCTCCTAGTCCCAGTTAGGGTTTCAGGGTTTTTTTTGTTGTTGTGTTTTTGTTTGTTTGTTTTCGTTGTTGAAGCTGTTGCTCGCGGTGCGAAGCGGAAGGATGACTGCGTCCTACTGAAAGCACTGATTTATTTCCATCAGTAATATCTTGATCAGTAAGCCATGTCAAATGTGTTTCAGATATCATCTTTTGTCACTGATTGGTCTTTGTACTCTTCCTTAGAATACAGAAAGATACAATATTTCATCTGACAATAACAAAAGTTCAGGCATCCGTATAAACATAGTTTTCATTGTCTTAAGGGCCTTGTGGTTTTGTTTCAGTGGCGTTCTTTGTCTCCTTGGTGAAATGTTTCTGCTCCCTAGGGCTTGATCTTTCTCCAGACTTTTTTTTCCATCAGACAGTTCACTACAAACGAAACCTCCTGAACATCACTATGGTGGGTGCGTATTATTTCCCTGCATCCTAGTAGTCCAGAAATCCTAGTTTGCAGTTGGAGCTGTCATGATGTTTTGTAGATAAATGTAGCCTACTAGGTATGGTGCCTGTGCCTGAGAGCTTGAAAGTAAAGCAGGTAAACCAGATAAGTGATTTTTGACTGACAGATGAGGACTTGAGATGCAGAGTGAAGCGACTTAGCACAGAGGAAGCCTGTAGCAGAGTTTAGGAATGGACCCAGAGATTATAAGCACCAGTAAAACACCTTAAGAACAACGGAAGTAGGTCTTGCACTTAATTTCTCACATACCTATACAGTGTGCCTTGCCTAAGCAAGGGTTGGAAAGTGTGGTATTTTTTACTGAGTCTTTGAAAAGTGAGTAGTTTGTGTGAAGTCTTGTAGACATGCTCTATATCCCAAAGGGAGTTTTGATTTTATAGACAAAACTAATAGCTTTGTGGAAAGTGAAAGGAAGCACAAGTTATTTAAAATTACAGATCTAAAGATTGCTTAGATGTGAAGTATCTTAATTGCCAGAGATGCTACTTTTCACTCGGTTTAAATAGATTCTAGTGTGTGAGGAACAAAATTGCATCTTACAGATATAACTGTTGTAAAATTAGTAAATTGTCTTCAAGTACTTGAAGCAGTATAATTGATAAATTGACACTTCTGTCATAAACATTGTTTTTGCTTAGGTTGGAATCCTTAGAAATAGCTTTTTTTCTGGAGGTGTATTTTCAGATAAAGATCTAATTTAATAAGTCAGGAAAAAGTAGCTAAATCTGTCATAACGTTTGAGGGATTTCAGTAGTTTTTAGGTTGCTAGTTTCAGTCTGGCTGTTAGCGTTCCAGCCTGGTTTCAGCCCTGTAGTTCTGGTGTGCAGCCAGAACACCTTCTTTTGTGCTCATGCTTCAAGGCAGAGTGAGGATGAGAAGTCCCTAAAGAAAACTGCATTTAAATGCCATAGGTGGCACTAATTCACTGTGTGCACTGTATATTTTGAGTTAGTTTTGGGCTTGTAATCCATTTGATAGAGAGAAACGACTGGCTGGAGGAGATGTCTTTGAACTGCCAAAGCCAAAGTTTTTATTAGAGGTGGCAGCTAAAAATCTCACAAGCTTTAATTATAATATAGGTGTTGACTTCAGCAACATGCCCACGTGAGTGAACTTGGGTAATTAGACTTTGGCAAAGAAACCTGGGTAGGCAGTCTCACATGGATATAGTTTTCTTTACCTTACTTGAACTGTTGTGAATAAAAACAATGTTACATTGTTTTGTTCTAGAGCATGTTACAGGGAATTCTAGTTATTGGATTGCATGATTGTACCTGGGAAGTCTGCTATGTACATGTTAAGCTACTAGGCTCTGTGTAAAGGGCTTACCCTGAAATTATGAAGCTGTTGGATGCCGGTAGGATAAGGAATGGAAATAAAATTAAATTAAACGAAATTTTCTGATGTAATCATATCAAGAAGGAGCCCCAACTAAAAGTCCAGTCCTTTGCATGGCTATAGAAAAGAGTAAAAGTTTTCACGCAGTTGCTGTAACTTATTTCAGTGGTAACAATGCCAAGCAAGGAGTTTCTACTTTCCTTACCTTAAAGAAACAAACCATTAGAAGACTCAGCTACATGTTCTTTTCTCGGAGACCATCCAGTGCCCTTTTTTTGTAAGGGGACTCTGTGTGCATACTCATCCTACCATTAGCTAGAAAGGCATATCAAACGCAACTTGTTTTTTTCCAAACTGCTTCGTAGTAATGTGAGGTATTTTTCGTTTGTTTGTTTTCCTTCCAGTGTGATAATATCCTGGAAAGAATTCCCTGTGTGATTTACCTTTTTGGAAGTTCTGCATAGAACTGACGTTACGATTTGTGGAGGGAGACATTTTCCTAGCAGCTAGAATTGAAGCTAAAAGACATTTGGCGTCTTTGGGTCTCACATTAATAGTAAGCCTTCTGTTTTTGGAGTGGTTATGGTACTGGAACAGAATAGGTTTGTGCTCCATTAAATGTGTCCGCTGTGCAGTACTTTGTTTGAAGTAAAGGCAGATAACTTGCAATGACAAGCTTGGAATTTATTTGATTTGCCTTGAAAACTTCATACAAGTAAAAATAATGGAAAGATTTTTAAATTGACTTTTTTATTATTTGAATGTTTCCTTGCAGCTTTGGAAACCCAAGCACAACAGCATTGTGCTGTTATAGGAGAAACAGAAAATGCAATTGAGCAGTCTAGTTCATTGTCCAAGCTGAGTGAATTGCTAAATATAAACAGCCTCTGAGAGGAAAAAGAAAACTGTGTTTTAAAAATCCTTTAATATACAGTTTTAGTAATACAGGTAAGGGAAACTTTCAGATATTTTATTTTGAAAGCGTCAGAGGTACATTTGAAAAAGCCACGAGAATAAGGAAGAGTTTTTAAAACTTACCTATTTTCCACTTTCTCATGATATTAGAAACTACATCTTTAAGGTGACTTAGAATAAGAAGTAGTAGCAAGTAACTTACAATGATCTCATGCTTGAACCTATGAATCTGCTGGGCTTTACAGAAAAATTCAGATATGCCTTTCACGCTTCCCTGAGATTTTCTCTGATGTATTATGGCACTTTAGGGACAGTTTTCCCTTATAGAATATATGGATTTGTTGATAGACTTTTGGTGATAATTTAAAAAAAAAAAAAAAGTAATAACTTTTCATTTGGGGATGCCTTAAATTGATTTATGTATCCTCTGACTTAAACACTAATAGCATCACATTTATGTTCTTGTGTATTCATTTTGTGTAATATGGAATTATGGATTTTGCATGGAGTTTGCTTTTTACCTCTTAGGAGATACCGAAGTTGCAGGTTGAAACGGTTTTGTTTAGAGTGCAGTACTGTCAAACATGTATTACCCTAAATAAATCTTTGGGTAGGCTTACTAATTATCAGTTGCTAGTAGAAGCTGTTATGGTTGAATCCAGCTTAACATCATGTTTATATGACCAATTTCCATGTGACATAGGCTTTCAGACTGCAACTTTTCTTGCTTGATTTATGTCTAATGTGAACTTTTCTTGAAAATTAGAAAAAGGGCCATAGAGCAATCTTTGTGGGGAGATAAAAATCTCTGTTAGATTTTTATAACAGCATTTCCAGCAGTAACAGGTTTGTAAGCTGGCTTTGGCATTAATCAGAGTTGATGTCCACTCCACTCACAGTACATGAGACACTTGAGTAAATGCCATTGTCAGTGCCTTCTTGAGTCTAGGTGGGTTTTAGTTTGAGCCGTACGACTATAGCCTTCACAACTTCAAGCAGATGCCTGCCTTTGGTAGTAGCAAACAAATTTTTACTTCCTGTTGCCAGTAGGTTTGGCCAAAGTGCAGCAGTGAGGACACTGACCAGGCCGGACCAGTGCTTACTGCTGTTTCTAAAAATCATAGCCAGTGTCTTTCCCAGGTAATCAAAGTGAAGTTGTAGGAGTGGAGGAGCTGGGCTGTTTGCTCAAGGGAGAAGGCTTCACGCAGAAGCAAAGAATAAGATGGTAGGGCCAGTCTTTTGAACTGAAAATTGGAGAGGGCTAAATAAGGGGAAATCCCCATTAATATTTTTTGTCTATCTAGACTGTGAGTGGGGGAATAATAATAGTCCAGAAAAGCTGGAGTTACTCCAAGCTTTAACATAAAAAGATAGAGCTCTGCTGAAAACTGTAATATGCCCAAATACTTTTCATGTCTTTTGTGCTTTGTAGTGATGTTTTGAGCTCTTACTGGAGTTTTTCTTAATGTAGGTTACACACTACAAGCAATATCCACCTAATACAAGCAAAGTATATTCCTACTTTGAATGTCGTGAAAAGAAGACTGAAAACTCCAAATTAAGGAAAGTGAAATATGAGGAAACTGTTTTTTACGGTTTGCAGTACATTCTGAATAAATACTTAAAAGGTAATTCTCTCAAATTCCAGTAAAACTGTACCTATGAATAAATACTTTAATTTTTCTCAAGCCATGCTGGAGTCTTATAGTTGAAACAATTCCCAGGTGATTTTGTTGCAGTGCAGGTGTTGACATACCTAAGATCTTATTTATGTGGTTCTGAAGCTGAGATGTCCACCCTCATAAAGTGGTACTGACTTCTAAATTCAGACACCTCTCTACTGTGTTTCTGTATGTCAGTCGGTTAATAAAAATGAAGAGGTGTTCATATCCCAACTTGAGTGAGCTAAATGGAAATACATAGAAATGGAGTAAGGCTGTTAACAGAATCACAAGACTGAAGCTTTGAGGGAAAATATATTTCACATTGTGAACGTAAACTATAGTCTGTTTGCCGATTTATTTAGCGTATAAGCTAATAACTGTTTAATTAAATCTCCCTTAAGTTTCTTTTGCCACTCCATTTAGATCACTGAATATGGCAGCTACGTATGAACGTATTTTCAGTATTGGCAGTTTTAAGAGTAGTATCTAAAAATTTCTTGGTGCCATTTAAGATTTAATTTTGTTTGCTTTTAGCATTATGTATAAATATCACCTGTTCTGACCTGAATGTGAGTTGCCTTCTGTCGAGCTTTAGAAATAAAATTTTAGTCATAGCTTCTATGTCTTTACCTTGATCCAGACCCACCGATGTCTCTGCCAATTCCTGTCCAATATTGGCATTAAAATAAAATAAAAACACTTCTTTTCTTTTCTTTTCTCTTTAGCAATCTGAGTATTGTTTTTTTACCATTTCAAATGATAATTGTTCCTAAAGTAGTAGCAATACTTATTTGAATAATGTGATTAGTCTGTCAGTTCTTATCACAGGAGTGGTTAATCAGAGCTTGTTTATAAGCTCTCTCCTGAGGTGTTCTCTCTGGAGCAGTATAGCTTAGTAGTTGTGCCAGTCAAGTTATATCTTGTTGTATATGTCAACTTGCACAATCGTGACACTCCTCTGGGGTTAGTACTGAGCGCAAAACACTCCACAGATTACTGACCAGTCGTAAAATGGTAATGATCTCAAATTGTTCCTGAGTAACCTGCAAACCACAAATCTATTACTCTGCTGATTTTCCTAATCTGTACAGTAAATTAAAGTAAAAATTGGTTTAAGCATAGCTGATATATTCTATTTCTCTTTCTCTTCAGAAAGAGACATGGGGAGTAACAACTCTTTTGTCTGAACCTTTTTATGTTATTTATTTTATAAATTGATGAATATTGTAAGTTTTTGAGCTTTTCTCTGTTTCTGAAACTACAGGTAAAGTGGTGACCAAAGAAAAAATCAAGGAAGCCAAAGAAGTGTACAGGGAACATTTTCAAGATGATGTCTTCAATGAAAAGGGATGGAACTATATTCTGGAGGTAAAAATTTAATGAAAATACTAAGAAATCACCGTGAAGGATTTGTGAATCAGCTGTAGAATAAATATAGCAGTTTCTCCTTTAAACGAAGTTATTTTAACCATGATAGTAAAGGGTGGAGAAATGTAGCTTTTTATATGCAGCCTACAGGGAGTAACAGCTGTCCAAGAATAATCATATAATTGTTAATCCATAGAAAAAAGCAATCTTCATCCTTTCGGAGGCCAAATACGGCTTTGCAGGTAATAAGAATTTATTGCTGCCATCAGCCAGCTAGAATAAGCGGGGTCTTGTTGGCAAGTCTCTATATAATATAGTGCTTAGTGGTTGGTTGTGTCATTTATATTGCTTTCTGTAACTAATCATAACCGTTTTTCTTCTAGTGCAGAAAGCATTACAACTTCTTGCAAGTATAAATAGTTCAAGAAAATACATATTTTATTCAATGGTTTCCTAATTTTTTTCAGCAATAAGGTTAAAGTTTATGAAATACAAGGCTTGAGCACGTCAGACACACGCAGCCTCCCACGTTAAGTCTTTTCACATTATCCTTTCCTCTTTACCTGTTGTTTAAAAAGGTGTCATTCTTCAAATAATTACAAACATCTCTTCTCTGTAAAAGCAGCAGATTCAGACTAATAACATTCATCAGAGCTGTTCTGATCTCTGCAGAAGAATGAAATACAGTTTCACCGTGGGTTCTGTTGAATGCTTATGTTTGGGATCTGAAAAAGCAATTTTTAGTCCTTTACATTTTCCACTGGATACCCTAACCGAGTGTATTTTATGGTGGCATGTACCTGTAAACGTATCTGGCTGTCATCTTGCAACCGAGGTGGACCATGAGGTGCAGAAAAGAAAACAGAACTTCAGCTAAGTGTTGGAAATGGCAGCATGGTAAATGAAAACGCTGTTTTCTGAAATGGAGTTATGGAGAGGTTTATAGAGGACTTGCATCCGTTTGAAATAACTACAGATGTGAATTCAAGCCAAATTCATATTTAACCTACATTATACATTGGGAACTACTCATTAGTAATTCAACTAATCTTGATCCCTCTTTAGCTAAATTGAATCAAGACCCTTTTAATGCTGCGTGCCTGTCCACGCTGAGTTTTAATGTACTTAAGTAATTGCCGTTGAACGCGTGGTTTTCAGGTTTAGTCAAAACGGACTCCCCAAGTATTTCTGTGCACATACTCTGTTCCTTGATTTCCTTGATCAGATTTTCTCACTAAAATGGTGTGCATATAAAAACAAGTGTCATTTTTGCTTCTTGATCTTAAATGCTGATGGCTCTCACACTGGAAATGTATGTTTTCTTTGGGTCCTTGTATGCTCCTATATGCACACTGAGCCCCCCATCCTGCTTGCTGAATTCCTGTATGTATTCAGATACGTACCTACCATTGCCTTCTCTCGGGCTCTGCTCTCCTATTGTCACATAATGTATGTGTGTATGGAGACTAGTATCTGTGTTAGGTAAAGCAGAGGGAGCAAGAACTGTATAAATGAAGTGCCCAAATGAATCTGAAATATACGTGCATGAATTTGCACAGAAAATAGATGAATGAGTAAATATTCACAGAGTGAAGGAGCAGAAGTGAGGAATGGGCTATCTGGGGAATGAGCAGGTGATGGAAAGGCTAGAAGTGGGCAGAAGTTGATGAGAACAGATTGAAATGTAAGCCCTGATTGTTTGGAGGTAATCTTGGGGGAGAAAGAGGGAAATTGATAATGTATTTTGCCTAAAATGCTTGCCTGATACACTTAGTGTAGGCTGCAGAGACACCTTATTACAGGAAATCAGTTGATCCTGCCTAAAAATTTAAGGAGCTGTAATACAGTGCTATGATTTGAACATATTATTGTTTCCTTTGACAAAATCAATGCCTATAGCCACTTCCAAGACTTCTTGTTTTGTTTTTCCACTTGAATATACTTTTTTTTTTTTCCTTTCCCCCCCCGCAATGAATCATTAATAAATAGAGGCCTTTTTTGAAGGTGTCATTGCTGCTTTTTGATCCAGAGTGGTCATCTCCAAGTCTGGCAACTAAACCCTTGTGGGATAAAAATACAATTTGCTTCAGCATATTACTGTTCAGAAGCAACTTTTAAACTGTAGTATCGGAGAGACTTGTGGTGTGTATTGGGTACTGGAGAGCACGTATTGGTGCTACTTACAAATCTGTGCAACTTCTGTAATGCAATACAATTTTTTTTGTTGCCTTTAAAGAGGTAGTGTCTCATGTGAAGCTTTCCGTCAAAAAGAGCACACAAAACGTTTTAAGTATTTTTATCAGAGCTCTCAAAGCTTGCGCTCAGAAGGTTATAATTACTGTTTTATTGTTTGCAGCTTATTCTTTAGCAAAAGGCATTTTCCACAGACTGTTTAGTCTTTCGGGAATGAAAGACCATATTTGACAAAAGAATGACACCTCAAGACTGAAAATAAAGTTTAGTGAATAGCTGTGATAAAACAGTCCTTAAAATAGCTGTTAAATGGATCCCGCTCCAATAAAATAACAAAGTATGCATCTAGGCTAAGCAAAAGTGGACTGTTTGGAGGGGTCAGGTTTTTGTTTTGCTTTTTTACGACTTGATGGCTAAACTATTTTTCCTTACCTCATGCAAAAGGGCTAAAGAAACTGAGTAGCGAATGTATCTGTTGTTTATGGGACATAAATATTTCCATAAAATGTTTAAGCCTTCCTGAATCCATTTGCACGAGGAATAAAACTGATAATCGTTATTCAGTTTGATGAGGAGACTTTCTTCTTCAGGTTGCCGGGTTTGGTTCCGTTTTTGATAAATAGGTTTTATGATGCACTTGGATGGGTGTGTAAATAAACCATACTATTTTGGGGGGCTGAAAGAAAGAAAAGGCAAGCTTCATATTTATGAAAATTACAGCCTGGCTTTTATCCGCTGCAGTCGAAGAAAGCAAAAACAGGGCCTAATCTTTCCTGTTGTCTAACAATATTGCTGTTTCTTTCACAGAAATATGATGGTCATCTTCCTATAGAAATAAAGGCTGTTCCTGAGGGCTCTGTCATTCCCAGAGGAAATGTTCTCTTCACAGTAGAAAACACAGATCCAGAGTGCTACTGGCTTACAAATTGGATTGAGGTTAGTTTGGGAAAGTTAGTGTGTTTTTTCTAAATAAATCTTAACGCACTGAAGTTAAAGGATGAATACTTTATTGGTTTAAGGGGAATCTCTCTCAGCTTTGGTTTTCTGCTTTAAATAAGCATGGATTCTTTCTTTAGCTTTTTTACGGAGACCTTTTTTTCCTACCTGGCAAGTGTTTGTTTTAATTTTAAGGGAAATGCACAACAGTACTTTTATCCACAAGAAGAGAAGGAGGAGAGGAGAGGAGAGTTGTGTGTCTGAGAACGATGACTCCTGAGATGGTCAGTCCATACCTGGCCTACCTCATAACAAAAGGCCAATTACCTTAAACCCTAAAGCAAACTATTGCAGGCCTTAGTACTTTCTCAACAGATGCTAAAAATAGGTAGACCTTTTTGTGCCTGATTAAATGCCGTGTGGGGATATTTGAGTCCTAGGCAAATACGTACCTAATAACGCGTTGTTTTTTATCTTAGACTATTCTTGTTCAGTCATGGTATCCAATCACAGTTGCTACAAATTCTAGAGAGCAGAAAAAGATTTTGGCCAAATATTTGCTGGAGACTTCTGGCAGCTTAGAAGGACTGGAGTACAAACTGCATGACTTTGGCTACAGAGGAGTTTCTTCACAAGAGGTAATACTAATTATCTAGCAGCTTGAGAGGTCTAATCCTTCTTAACTGTACTTTAGAACATCATAGAATGTATCTGTTAACAACTGTATCTAAATACGACTGTGAAATTATGGATGCATAGAGTACTGTACTTAGACTTGTGTGTTAGGGGGAGGAGGGAGGAAGTTGGTGGCGGGGAGGGCGGTGCGCATGCACCTTAACTGTATCTGGGTACTAGACTGGGAGAGCTTTTCTCCTTATGGAAACTTTCCTGTGGAAATGCATGAAGAGTATATGAATGAAGTGGTAACTGAGTTAGAATCCCGCCTTTTAGAACTAACGTTAGGCAGTAGTTGAATTTAGCCTTCTGTATTTGGCGTAGCAACTGAAAGTCTCATCCCTTTCAGACTGCAGGAATAGGAGCTTCGGCTCATTTGGTGAACTTCAAAGGAACAGACACTGTAGCAGGAATTGCATTAATTAAAAAGTACTATGGAACAAAAGATCCAGTTCCAGGATATTCTGTTCCAGCTGCTGAACACAGGTAAGATTTTCAGCTAAAAAAAACCTTTACAGAGTTTGACGAAATACAGTTTTGTTTATCCATCTTTGCGTCCAGAAATACCTGTTTCACTCCAAAGGAGGAGGCGGACATAAGCTGTTTCATTTATATCATACAACGTTAGCGATGATTGGTCCAGCTGTTGAGGCAGAAGTTCGGTTTGCTGACTGATGCCCCTATACGTTCTAGGGGCACAAATAGTGGCATAGTTGTTTTTAGCTATAATAAATGTTCTTTTCAGGTTCTAAGGAAATGTAGATTATTCTTTTTACAATGGGCTTGTAAGCTTATAGATAAAAATAAATATTGAAGATTTACATTGTAAATAGCTGCAAAGAGCTCATTAAGAGCTTAAAAACATTTTTAAGCACATCATAAAGTGAAAAGTCTTAAAGTTGCAACTCCACACTCTCCCAGATAATGTTCTCTCTCCAAAAGAGGTAGTTGCTTTGAAGCTTCCTATGATAAATCCTTGATCTCTCACTAAGAATTGTGAATGACTTTGAGAAAGAATAAGGTACTGATCTCAAACAGACATTTGAGATTAACAGCTGTCTCTCTGGGTTTTTGTTTTGTTTTATTTTGTTTTCCTGAATCCTGTACAAGGTCAGGAGTGAATGGAAATCTTTTGGATTCCATTTGCATATCTGCACACTGAAATGAGAATAATATAAAGGAAGGGACGTTAGCTTTTTTCTTAGCAAGCACAAAATCTAGTGCCTTGATGTGAAGCACTGCTGTAGGGCCGCTCTGGAGCTCCCACTTGATGAGTAGAAATAACAAAACCTATCGTGAACCTCTGCTCTTTAGCTTAGCTTAATACTACAGTTTAAATCCAAAAATGATTGACCCAAGTAACTTTGAAATTAACCATAATGAAAGAAAGAAAACACATGGTGCCAGAGAAGAAATGTCTTCTACAGAGCATATTGAAGTGGTGGCATGACAGCAGACAGCTTAAATTGTCCTAGTTAAAGTTCACATTGACAAATGGAGACTTCAGACACTTTTTTTCAAGCTAGCGCACAAAAAAAGTCCCATGCAAGCAATGCAAAACGTTTCAAAGTTCTTGAGGTGGTGGTGTATTTGTGGTGCTTGCCTGTGGCGTGCCACCGGGGTTGTTCCTGCGACTGCCCCGACCACTTTGAAAAGAACTTTCTTCTGTCTCTTCACTACCATAAGCCAGGACTTGTCCTAACAGAAGCTAATGCTAGCATGTCGTGCTGTAAAGAGCACGCTAGCTCTTACCACACACCTGTGCTTTGTGTGAGCACATGTCTTAGGAGTTCACGCACAAGTTATTAATGTAAGTTATATCAGCTGATCTGGGGCAGCTACATGCAGACAGTCACCGCTGATCAGCTGGTATTCAGTAACTTATTACCTCTCTTAGCAACTCTGTTTTATATGCTTGCTTATACCCTTGTACCAAGGGTAACACTCTGCATTTTCCTTAGGAGAGGAGCCCTTGTAGGAGTGGACAGAGCCACCATAGTGGTTTTTCTAAACTTAAGTGCTAGTTCTCTACTTCCCGTTCTGTAGTCTGAAATGGCTGGGGTGGATGTGCTGTTCTTGCATCTGTAGTTCTCCAATTGTCTGAGTTTCGGATTTAACAAAGAACTTCCCCTACTCTCTCATATATGTAAGAATTTCACATTTATATGTGAAAGAAATGTCACTTGTAAAGTGTTTGAGCTTTAAAAGATGAGTCCAGGGTACTGTTAGTGTATTTATTATCCATACAGCACAGAGCTGATAAGCATACAGTTTGTGCTGTCTGTCTAATCATATTGCCTTTCATTGTCTTGAACTATTGCTAATAGGAAATGCTGAATGTGTGATTTAACATATAGATACTGCTCTAATATGGATTTTTCAATTGACTTTACAGTACCATAACAGCTTGGGGTAAAGATCATGAAAAAGATGCTTTTGAACACATAGTGACACAGTTTTCTTCAGTGCCTGTATCTGTGGTTAGTGACAGCTACGACATATACAATGCTTGTGAAAAAATATGGGGTGATGACTTAAGGCACATAATTGAAGCCCGAAGTCCAGAGGCACCGCTTATTATTAGGCCAGATTCTGGGAATCCTCTTGACACTGTTTTAAAGGTAACGCTTTCTTGAAGTCATTTGTATGCGAGATTTGGAATGGCAGTTGTTTTTGTTTTGTGATGACTACCTAACAAACGTAGGAAATACAACACTCTAACTTGGTACGCATAGCGTGTGTTTTGTGTTGCATGTTTTAGACCTCTGTAAAATCTAAACGTTTATGTCATTAGGTATGGAAACTCTCTTTTGAAGCCTAAATAGATTATCTTTTTCAACAAATCGGTTTTTGCCTACTCTTCCTGAAGCTTTTACGACAGTGATCTGTTGTCCTCTCTAATGAGGTTGGAAAGATTCTACGGAGAGAAGTCTCTCACCACTTAACGAATAAAACGGGGAACAGCTCGAGTATTCATAAATGCCAGGCAAATAAGACTTGTTACCACTAAGGTTAGATACCTAGAGTTGTGTAATAATGTACCTCACTGTTTTATGCTGCAAATACAGGTTGAGCATTCTTACCCATTTTTTAAGACTTGCGTTTAAGTCAATGGCACATGACCTTAAAGCTGAGAGAGACTTTTTGCCCTTTTTGTAGCTTTTAAGAGAGCATACTATTTTTGCAATTTTATTGCAAAAACTGTTGATACCTCTGAATTAGAGTAGCTCTCAGCGCTGTTTTAATAAGGAAGTGGAGGAGACTGTTGGCTATCAGGTCAGATTCATACAACTTTAACTTACCATTTATAACTTTTTTTTTTTCCCTTTGAGATAAGTGACATAAATAGGAACTGTGAATAATCTTTTTATCAGAGCTGATAAGAAAAAAAGTCCTAGCTGAAGAGTTTTATTTTAATTATTGCTGGTTAACAAAATGTCAGAAAACTGAAAGCCCCATCCACCATATCCAGGGAGGTCAAAGAAAGAGCAGTATGTTTAGTTGACACGTTGATAGCAAGAGATTGTAGCAATCAAAGAGAGAAAGGAGAGAGGCATGGTTCTGATTACGAACTTGTACACAAGAGCTAAAGGCCATATGGTCTCTGACGGCTTTAATCTAATGGCTTCCAGCACAACGACTGGCATACTTTTTGTCTGTGTATTTATGGGGATATATTTAGAGAGGGATATGTGGGTATATTTATGGGTTTGCTTTTTTGAGAACATGACTCAAATGTGGAAATTGTTTCTTTGCTGGAATTGTGGAATGGAGGGGAGGGGTCAGGGCTTTTGTTTGGTTTTGTTTTTTCGAATGTCTCCCTTCTATTTTCAATAGGTCTTGGAGATCTTAGGGAAGAAGTTTCCCATTACAGAAAACTCAAAAGGCTACAAGTTGCTGCCACCATATCTCAGAGTTATTCAAGGGGATGGCGTGGATATCAATACATTGCAAGAGGTAGGGGATCACATTCATTTGTCACAGTGAAGCTGGCAGTGTTGCCGTGTAATCTGGAATCTGTCATGTCTAGTCAGATGTTGCAGCTTGTCTACCAGTCCCACCCTGCCCTTCATTCCAGACACTGGCAGTGATATCCTAATGAGTAAAAGAAATGCATTACAACTCCAAAGGGGATTATTAAGATGCATAATAACTCAAAGGCGTTTCCTAATCTCACTGTTGTAACACTTATCCTCCCACTGTCTCTCCTTTTGTTTACTTTCATCCTTCTTGTCAAGCCTGAATCAGACCAAGATCTAGCAGTGATTGGTCCTTTCATTGATATCTAAAGTACACTGCATGATTGCTGTGCTGTAGCAATAGTAGTAATGAACTCTTTTGGCTCATTAGTTATGCAGCTTCTGAAGTGTGCTTGCTCTCAAATTTGGAAGGTGTGGTTTTTGAAGGAGACTTTTCAAAACAAGGGTAAAGAGTCCATTGATTTGGCAACTAATGGGCATTGCTGAAAACCCAAAAAATATGAATAACAGGCTAGTCCATAGTTTTGACGCACCTTCAGATTGTTTTTAACAAAGCTGAGTTTTGTCACTTCTCAAAATTAGGAGTAAGAGAGACTTCAGGCTAGTTTTCTAGCTGCTATGAAACTGTCTGCATACTTAACGTGAGCGCATAATGTGAACGTAAACCACAGAATTCTGGAGATGCTCATTATTCAAATCTTTGATGAGCAGTTAATATTGAGATTGCTACCTGATATGCCAGCTGTAGTGCAGTCATGCACTACAGTTTTGCTCCTGCTCCAGTGGTCTTGAAAGCAAATTTTATTTTCCTGTGACTTTTTTTTGAGACTATACAACCGTGCTGATGTGTTCAACAAAGCACAAGCACGAAATGTTAATAGCTGGAAGGAAAGTCTTATCACTAGGTACTAAAGGAAGAAAATTGTTTGATCTTTATGAACTATTTATTCTCAATGACTGTTAAACAGAATTTAGTCATGAATTGATGCCCGTAGTAGGCAAAAACATGTCCCTGTTGAGATTTTCATGAGTGTGACAGGAAACAAATTGGACCACTAATGCTTTCTTGTAAGAAAGAATTTGGAGGTTGCCTTCTTTAAGTTATACCTGACAGAATTCAAGGAGGTAAGCTCATACAGCATTGATTGTAATAATAACGTTAAAATGAATATTTAAAGTATTTACATTGCAGGAAAAAGGCACTGCTCTCCATGCTGTAAATTAAGTAGAGAAATAATCCCATCAGTTAAAGGGAGAGGATATAGATGGGAAGAATAATTCTTTGTTCAGATGATCCACCTGTTTACGTACTTTCCTCAGCCAAACTAATTTTGATTATGAAAACAAATCTACCTGTAATATGTAGCAGAAAATAGTTGAGAATCTTGTTCTACAAGACTCATAGAGCAGGCATAGCCGCTTGCTGTTGCCTAGTGGCCGTCCTCTCATCTTTTCCAGACGCCATAATCTTGCTGCACATCTCATTTCAGCTTTGGTCATTAAACCCCTCAAACTAATTTAACCATAAATATAGCAGGACATTAATTGAGCCAAAAGTGGTCGATTTTCTGTTGTTCTAGTGATTAAATTGGCCCAGGGAAGGGTCCAGTCATCACCAGCACTATACAGGAGAGAAAACAAACACTTGGTTGGATTTGGGGAAGCAGGAAGGGAGGAAAGAGACGCTGCTCGTTTGGCAGGAACAAGTTATGTTGGAGCAGAAGGCCACAAGCTTGCAGGCTGATTCTACTTTCATTTAAAATTTCATGGAGCTCTTTTTACTCTTATCTTAGCAAAGTCAAAGTTACCATGCAGACTTGTAGAAGACTGGGCAATAGGATGCCATTTAAAAAAATCCTGAAGTAAAACTCTTCCTTTTCGAAAAGGAGTTGACATGAACAAATATAATGGCAGTTTCCCCTCCCCCGCACCCCGTTAAAGCCTATGCAAGTGATCGTTCTAATTATTCCATATCAGTCTTAGGCTCCAGACATGATCTGTTGTTATAGATCAAATCGATGGTAATGGCTATGATTGGAAAACCTGGATGAGTAGTGACTGATCAGTCTTGTTTAACTATCCAAACTAGCTGAAACAAAAATATAGAAAAAAACTTGGAGTATAAACTGGATTTTAAAATTCTTTGTTTTAATAGGGGATGCTGGTAGAAGAGGTAAGGAACCTTTTCTGACTTTCTTCTGGCATTTTCACTTTTTTAAATCATTCCAATCTGCTAACTCCACAATATATTACACTTTCAAAGGATTTTCTTTGAACATTCAATTTCCAGCTGTTTTTAAATTATTATCCAGAGTAAATCCTCTAATCTGGAGTCACCGTTGATAACCATGCCCGGAATGGTCCGAGGAAGGTGGTCAAAACCTGGACACCTGAATTATTCTCCTTGTATAAGTTTGAAAGAGAGACAATAAATTCTTCTGTATGGTTTTCCTTTGGGAGAAACTTCAGTCATGTTTGGGATCTTTCTCTTTTCTTTCCCCCCCGCATTGTTGCTGCTGTTTGCCTTCCTCCTCCGTACGTAAGGAAACGGTAGTCTGGACCTCTGTTGTGGGTTACTGGTACTTTCAGAGCCAAGTTTCAGCCCTAGTCTCAATATCCCTTCCCTTATTCCACCCCTCATTGGCCAAAGATCAGTCCGCAGGTTAAGTGAGGAGTTGTGAATATGGCAAGAGATGGACAAACTGTCTGTAAGTGAGAGCAGGAACACTAACTGAAAAGGGTTCCCATGGCTCCCTATGCAGGCAAGGGGGCTGAGCAGCCATGGCCCAGCTACTCTGTACTTGCACTGGCATCTATTAACCTACAGGTATCAGAGGAAATGAAGTCTAAGCCTTAGTGAAATGTTGTTTATATCATCTTTGTTTATCGCAGGTACGTTCAAGCAAATTCTGCTTGTGAGCATTTACACAGCTTGGAGAGGAGGGCAATGTCAGACCTGATCTTATAAGACCTGATAAGCACACAGGCAAGATATTTTGGCTCAGGCTTGGCTAGTAGTTTATGTGGCTTCAGGGTTGATCAGTGTCTGGACGGAACTTGCGCGGAATTTAGGTGGAGTTTACCTATATCTGACTTCTCTAAAGACAGCGTAGATAAACACAGTCCTTATGTAGGCCCAGGCCAGGCTAGTTTCTCACTGCTCTACTGGACGTTACGCTTGAGGATTGGGGATGAAAATCTCTTTTCTTACCCTGCCTTTGTCATCTTCAGTTGTTTCTAAAATGTGTAAGGGGAAATCTCATTCGCATATTTGCTCTAAATCCTTTATCCTCTTTGGGTTCTCCTTTTAAAACGGGTTCCCAGGAGAACCTAATGACCCGAAAATACAGATTCCCTTCTGTGCAGAGTCACTGTCCCAGAGGATATGGTGGCTACTGCTAAAATCCACAGGATTTTCACGTATTGAGGAGGTATTTCTTCAAGATGCAGAGCTTTCCAAAGGGTTTCCTTAAGTGAAAATCATGGCAGAGGGGAGGCACGTCTGAGATTTCTTTTGCTTGGCTCGGTCGATGAAGCTCAGGAAGCTAGCACCATGAGAGTGAGGGAAGCTCACTAATGAGATTTCTTGGTTGGAGAGGTTTCCACTAAAAATCTAGGGGGAAAATGTTCAGGGCATACCCTTGAGAGGTTATAGCTCTGCAGTCCACCTTTTCTGTTGGCTGGTCTCTGCCAGGCATTCAGACTTAGAGTGTCCTTCAAGAGATCTACATGTGACTAGATGGATAAACAAAATACTAGTGTGCATTTTTATTTACATTAGCTACCAGTTTGCCACTATCCATGTCTCAAGTTGAATTGCCTTTTTTTTTTCCTTATGAAACTTTCACCTTGCCTTAGTCATCCCTTAATGAAATGACTTGACCTCAGTAGCTGCTAAAAACAGTCCTGTTCAGTGTTACCCTGGCATTTCCCTTTTATACAGAAGGCTGAGAGTACACAAAAGATTGCCAGACTTCTGATGCTATTGATTTCTGAAACTCTGCACTGTTCTCCTTGCATTATCTCTGTCCGTTCTGCTCCTCAGTTTCCTTTTTCTGGATGGCAAGGGATTTTGCTATTTTACCCACTCTAAAGTTTTTTCACCTACTTTTGTTAGTTGAATGGTAATAGCTATAAATTCAAGCACTCTCCTATTGCGCCTATAATTGTCTTTTCAGACTGTTGTAGGGGTAACACGTCAGGGAAACAAATCATGACCGTTTGTGAGTATGACTAAACTAGCATCCATGACTCCAGGTTAGAGGATGACAAGTGTTTCTGTGGCTACAGTTAGGGTGGGGAGGAAATGACGTGGCAAGTCTTAAATTGTCTGTTGATAGGCGTGCAGTTCACACTGATCTGTACCTGCCTGAGAAGGTGGCAAAGCTAACTCTTTGAGTAGCTTTTGGTTGGCGTATTCAGCTGATGTGAATCAAATGAGAAAATATGCATCTCCATTTTCCATCCTATAAACTTCTAGTGCAACTGTTTCTAGCTTTAGAAGGACTGCTCTGATACAGTCATTGATCAAAGCGGGCAGACTTCTTTCTGGAGTGGATGTACAAGATGATTGCTTTCTTTCAAGATGCACGTTATACTTTGTGGGAGTATTTCAGAGCCTTCTGACTTCTTAGAATTATGGGCAGGCCTCAAAGTCATCTATTTTCTTTAGAGCTCTGATTGTCTGGGTATTACATTACTGAGCTCTCCTAGTTTGGGAAGGAAAAAGTAATCTTTAATGCCTATGGCAGCATGATAATAGTATTATAGCAAACACTTTTTTTAATAATTATCACGTGCTGGAATAACAGTTTAAAAAAAACAGTATGCCAAATCTTGACAAAATTTTTACATGTGTCTCCTGGAAACTGAATGTTAGTTGGTTTAATTGTCTGTAAAAGCATCTTGTTTAAGTAGTATAATGTTTTTTGGAAAAATGGCCTGGTTTAAAAATAGATTCTATCATCATTTTCTTTTTCTTACCAGATTGTGGAGGGAATGAAGAAGAATAAATGGAGTATTGAGAATATTGCCTTTGGATCTGGTGGAGCCTTGCTGCAGAAACTAACTAGAGATCTCTTGAATTGTTCCTTCAAATGTAGTTATGTGGTGACCAACGGTCTTGGGGTATGTCGTCTTCTGCTTCTACCATCATGCTTTCAATAGAAGGCTCCCCACTTGAAAAGCTGTTTCACGTTTCCTGTTACGTTACCACCATCTGTATAAAGTACACAAGCCCCACCAAGCTCTTTCTTTTTAAAAGACGTTCTTCTAATTTCTAGGTAAATGTGTTCAAGGATCCAGTAGCCGATCCAAACAAAAGATCAAAGAAAGGCCGACTGTCTTTGCATAGGACACCTGCTGGAGATTATGTGACACTTGAAGAAGGCAAGGGAGATCTTGAAGAGTATGGACAGGTATGAATTTTGAAGATTTACCAAGTCTCTCTCCATGCAAAAGCAGACTGAGGAAAAAGCAGGTTATAGCTTAATTTTAGAATTTGTTTTAGTTGTCTTTATATTTAGCTTTGTCTTATTACTTCACAAGTGTCCTCAGTCCCAAATTCAATAAAAGCAGAATGTTAGCCCCTCAAGTTTTACAATTAGAAGTCTGTGTTCAGGAAAAGAAAAGGATCATTACTGCTTTTTTGCAAAACTAATGTCTCATAATGTAGCATAATATATGCTAGCTGAGTAGTTTTTTATGGGCTATGTAGCTCAATTTCTGAGTAGTGTCTGATTTTTGGGGGGGGGGGGGGGAAGGAGATAGAGAAGACAGACAGACAGACTTAACTAAAGTTTGTTTCTGCTTCTCTGGTGAGATTTGTAAACAGTTCCCTCAGGTAGAAATGTTGTGTAAATGGAATAGTTTTCCAGTGTTCAAAGATGTAAATTAAACCAGGAAGTCAGTTTCCCTGTTGACTCTTTGGCATAGCAAAATTAAATGCTATTTCAGTATAACAAGCACAAACTTTAACCCAGTCTCAGGCTTTTGGTTTGAAATCTCTGTAAGTTTTCAGTAGGCAAACAATGAAATGTTGCGTGTTAAGTGTCTTTCTGAATTCAGACTATTTAAAGTCTTTAGTGATTGTTGTTGTTATTAGGTCTTTGCATCCAGAGCACGTATTATCTACAGTGTATATAATTCAGTTTGCTTTCTATCTTTAAATTTCTCAGATAGGGCTCAGTTTTACACTTACTGTTGCAGTTTTACAGCTCCCCTTCTTCCATACCCCTCTGTCTGGTAGCTTGAATATGTGTTTTTGTGTACTAGAAAACTCAAGAAAAACTTCCAAGTCTGTAAAGGCAAAAGTGCAGTTTTAGAACTTGCTTATTTTCCAAATTACATATACACCTATGCATGTATGTATGTTTATTGTGCACACTTGTAAATTTTATATATGGGCAGTAAACGGTAGAAAAACGCTCTTCAAACCCAAAATCACAAAAAATTGGGTTTAAATTATGCAAAAGTATCACTTCATTTTTTTGACAGATAAAATAACTCATGAAGAAGTTTTCTGTACTGGGATATTAGAGGGAGTCACATATGTGTGTTTTGTCGCTCTGGGAACAGAAGTGCAGATGGAAGGGGAACTTTTGTGGGCCTCTTTTCCTAAAACCACAGATCCTTGCAATAGCTAACCAAGCGTAGCTGCTGTCCGGTATTGGTTTGTGTTAACTTTTCTGTCCAATGCTGTGCTTTGCTCTTTCAGTGTGCTGTTAGCACTCTTTAGTACTCTGTTTTACAGGCTGTATGTGTAAAGGGGACTGCAAAGAAAACTTTTTTCATAGTTGCAGTGGAGGAAATAAAGATTTTGTATGAAGCTTTGTAATTAAATTGTACTTAAAATTGGTTCGAGTGAGAATCTTTTCTGACTAGCTGCTCTAGCAGGGAATATTTAGCCTATATGTCTTTGGCTTTGGCCAGATTTGGGCATTTCACTTTGGGGACTATTCAGTATAAAACTTTTATCTGTTTATAACATGGCTTAATTTTTTTTTTCTGTCTAGCCCTTAGCTAAGTGTACCAGTGGAAACTGAAAAGGTCAAGTATCTTAACAGCCTGAGGCTCTAGTCTTGACAGATATGATTTGAGTGCTTGCTTCTAAGTTTGTGTAACCTGTATTGGTTCATTTCTCAAATGTCCTTGAGAGATGTTTTGCTTTTGCTAAAACAGTGATGTTTCTTGCAGGATCTCCTTCATACAGTGTTTAAGAATGGAAAGGTAACGAAGTCATATTCATTTGATGAAGTAAGACAAAATGCCAGGCTGAAGAACAGTGAACTTGAAACAGCGTCTCACTAAGTTTCATTCCATGTCTGTGTATGTGTGTGTAACGAGTATGTACTGCATAATGGGTTTATTGTACAGATTTGCGTGTTTGTGTTTTATGACATTGTAGCCAAATTATTTGTTGGTTTATGGACATACTGCCCTATCTTTTGCCAGTCTTTAGAAAAGATGAAATCAGGAAATGGTACTTACAGTGTAAAACATATTTAATGCTAAGGTGTGCTTTTTAGGGCCCTTTGCCAGTAGTGATTCAATCTGGTATTGATCTTTTCACAAATGAGACAGAGCTGAGAAACTTTTTTATATATAACAGAATATCACAAAATGGATATACATAAAATTATCATGATTGCTTTATGTTTATATTTAACTTGTATTTTTGTACAAACAAGATTGTGTAAAATATATTTAAAGTTTCAATAATTAAGTCTTTCCAACTTTTCATGATTTTTATGAGCACAGACTTTCAAGAAAATATTTGGTGGGGGGGGGGAATCCATTGCCTTTTGTCCATTAATCAGCAAATAAAACATGGCCTTAAAGTTTGTTGTGACATTGTACCATTTGAAGATGAAATCAGGACTTGTATCTCCCTTAAGATCCCATAGAATTGCTGACCTCACTGTATCTTTTAGTTGTCTGCATTAGTAAATCTACATTATTAAGAAAGTTACTGTTCTTACTAGAAGATTTAGGTACTACAGACCTTACTGGCACAGTTAGGTATGTAAATGGAATGCCAAATTTGAAAGGATTCTCTACTGCAACTTAACTTGCCAAGTCTATTCTACTTGGCATATGCACCTCAATATTTTAAGAGTAAAGTTTTTAAGAGATCTCCTCTTCCACTATAGAATATATGTGTAAAATACTGAAATATGGAAGCGGTGTATTTTAAAGTAATTACACTTCTGGGTTTATTTTTCATATACTGTAAGTGACATGACTTTAAAGCAAAATACTGGACTGGGTAGTGCACTTTTTTACTTTTTTGTATTTTTTTCATTGATTTGCCTTTTGTCAGACTGGATGTTAAATTGTAAAAATGTTTAACTATTTTTGTTAACAACTTTAATAAAACTTTATGCTAGCCAAACTCCTACATGAATGGCAGACCTGTTTCCCCTTCTTCCCCCATGTTACTGGGGTGAAGAGGGGCTTTTATGTTGCAGAGGGTAACTGTAAAAGAATATGTATGAGAGATGCTTTTGAACTGTCTGCACTTGATTGTATTTGCTCTCTGCATAAGCTTGATTAGAATATCTGCTGGCAAGCAAAGCTGTCGAGGATTTTATTTGAAAAGCTATGTAGTAATAGGCTCTGAGATGTTTAATAGTACTGTAGGATGGCTCTTACTACAAAAGGAATACCTCCCTTAAAAAAAAAAAAAAAAAAAAAAACAGCAAAAAAAAACGGCTTCTGTATTAGGTTGATGGTCAACTGTCAGTCTTTGACTTACTGTACTGATGTTGTAATTAACAGTACTAATTTACAAATAATTTTACAGGAAAATGTGAGAGGTCTTTTAAAATCATTTAAGCCTACAAAATTATATAAAACATGCTTTTAAAGGAAGACCGAAAAGCCATACTTCATTGTTCTTATTCTCTCACCAAAAAGGGCCCCATCAAAACACTCATACTATTTCCAGGGTTTGTGGTTAAGACACTTAAGCCCAGTCTCAATAGTTCCTGTTAATAAAAATTTGTTTTCCACTCTTAGTGTATGTGATTATAGATTTAAGTGATGTATTGTTTCAAAAATAGTGCTTTAGTAAGACTAAATACTGACCTTTCACACTGAAGAACTGCCTTTCCTTTGCTGTTAATGATATTGCTTGTATTTGGCCAGGAAATGCCAAATAAATCCAGACATAGGATCAGTAGCTGGTAAATAGTACAGAGCCTATTTCACCCCTCCACATGTGTACTAGGGCATTTTATGATGTATGGTTTAAAAAAAATAAAAATAAATGCTGCTTTCATTCTGTACCAATAAAAATTTTGATAACTATTGACTACCCATATTTTTGTACTTGAGAACTAGGGATATGCTGTGGAAGCACTGTTTTCTTGTGTACCATGAAATACATGAGTAATTGTTCAGTATTGTTGAAAATTTAGCTTATTAGTTGAAAACTTAAAGCAATTCTCTACCTGTGCATGTCACTTTCAGAAAGTAGTCACGTCACTCATTTTAATAAATGTTAGTGTCTTTTTAAAAAAAAGAAAAACACCTGGTGCTATTCAGACCTGAATACATATCTTTCTGTTTGGCAGTTTGACATTCTGGGCGTCAAGAAGTTGATAGAAATTATTGCAGTGCTGGAACCATACAATATCCTAATTCTTCCACATAAAAGCAAACAGCATGTTTCAGTTTGCTTTAAATTACTAGTTTTGTAGCCATTGATATGTTTTGATTATCCCCATTTCATAATATAATACACTATTTGTATTTAAAAATAGGAATAGGGAGTTCTGTGTTAATACTCTTATTTGTAACTAGTGTTTAGCATAAGAAATGGATTTTGTAAGACTATTTTTTCCTGAGATGCATGAAAAGATTTTTTTTTTCTTTTTTTTTTTTTTGGTACCTGGAAAGATCTGAGAAAATAGAAAAGTACATGCTGTTTGGTTTGCCAAAATCAAAACAAAGTTTAAACAGTTTTTCCTATAGGTTTTTACATTCCTTTCTAACCTGTTTAGTGAAGAATAAATATTCCTCACTTAAATCCTCTGTAAAAGTAATTTTAATGTACTTGGCATCAAATACCGGTATGTAATACACATGGAAATAAAGTTTAGTTCTGGCAGTGCGAATAGTAGCCATTTGACTGTGTCTTAAAGTTGTGATGTTGGGCATCAAATTTTGGTTGTTTGCTCCCCGGTGCCAAACGGAGACTGGCACATAGCTGTGCTGTCATTACAGTCCACTGCGGGAGAGCTGCTCCATTGGTTTGCACACAGTTTGTGGTTAAGTGATTGAATTTACAGTCAAGTCAGCTCTAGAGAAGAGAACATAGGCATCCTTTTCTTCTGTTTGCAGAATATGAACACATCTGTACTTCAGCATCTCTCATGAACTTCAAAATGGAGTACTTCCTATTTGATGTGTAGCCACTGAATGAAACCCAAGGGCTATTCCTCCATTCATATTTCACATAATTCTTTGACAAACAATTATTCATTTATTTAGATTTAATTTAGTGCTGATAAAAATGCTTGCTTGAAAGTAACCTAATTAAAGATGTAGCCTTCAGATCACTACAGTCCCAATAGTTTCCACTTCTTAATGGAACAGACCGTTTTGTGACCCTTTGGACAGGTTTTTCATAATTGGAAGAAAATATACTTTTAATTGCTGTATAACTTCAGATTGTAGGATGTAGCTTACAAACACAAGCAAATGCACTTAGTGTGAAGATAGTCATCTTCAGTTGTAGCTGGTCAATTCAAGTCCTACTGTAACATAAAAAGGGGCTTTTGTAGCCTACGATAAGGGCCTTTTAACATTTGGATTTAAAGTCTCCGTTACGTTATCTTTACAAAGAGCACGCACGGCCCAAGTAGTTGAGGCCTCTTCCTCCTAGCCAAGCCAATAAAAAGCATCCAGCTTTTCGTTTATCGTTTTTCTCACGATAGTCAGCCTTTGTGAAAGTTAAAAGTGATTATGAACGTTGAGTGTGCTTTGGTAGGCTCCCAGGTCACTGCACAAAAGAGACTAGGGAAATTTCAAACCTCAAACTGTGCAGGGCAAGGCAAGGATCTAACAAATGTGTCTCTTCCTGTGTCCTCTAATTCTACTGTAATGAATAAAATAGATTCTGCCTTGAGTAACTCGGTACAGATACTGTGAAGATGCACTGAAGCAATGGTGATTACATCTCTACATGGAAGTATGTTTTTTGCCTGTCCATGAGAGCCACAATTACGGTCCTATAGGTGCACAGTTCCTGCATGGAACTTGCAAACAATTTAGTGAAAGATGATCCACTTGTCTGAAACCTGCTGGACAGAGGTTCTTGGAGTCACGTTACATGGAGAGCTGTATGATTTCTAAATAACTTGGTTCTCGGAAACAAACGTTCTTCTATAAAGAAATACTGAGATTGAAGCTGATCCATAGAATCAGGCTTACTGAAGTCATAGCTGTTAAGCCTGGATGTTGTATTCATTTTTCCTCTTTTACTGATAGCACAGCTGATCATCTTGTTAATAATTTGAAAGCACCTTTTGTCACAGTGACCTAAAAATCTCAGATAAGATATGTGTGTTTATAGCTCACAGTAAGGGAAGAAGACCACTTAGCAGTAGAACATTTCCAAATAATATTTTCCTGTGGCACGATATTTTGTGGAAAGGTACCCTGATTTCTGCTGTGAGACAATCCAGAGCAGCTCAAAGGACATGAGAATGGAGTCAGTAGGATTTTTCTCAAGTCACATATTTTGTTCAATAGAATTTCCTTACTGATCTTTTTCTGAGTGCTCATAACTGCTTTTTGAATAGAAATTTTAGAATTTAAAATGTATGGGGAAATTTCCTGGAATCAGAAATGCTGTCCTCTGTTTGTCTGGAGCAGAGAGGTCTCTTAAGGACACATAGGGAGCGATCATGCCTCTGGCAATATTTCTATTTTCACCTCCTACAACTCTTCTGAGTAGAAGGGCAAGTTTATTACCAGTCTGCATAGAGACAAAAATCAGAAAATTTAGATTGTATCTAAATCAAAATTTCCCCTAGATCATTAGATATATTTATGCAAGCATGCTGTAATTTGTCAGTATGTATAACTACTTGCATTTTCTTGTTTCATTGATAGTATTGGCCCATGAGATTTGAAGATCTTGTTTGAGAGCAACTTAGTTGTTCTTCCTGTGCTTGTATCAAGTAAATATTACATTGCTACAGCGAGATAATTATAAATTATTGAAAATGTCTTCAACATTTTCTATAATTACACTGTCTGAGAAATTCAAAAGGATAGATAAAGAATGCTTGGAAGGATCTAAGGGATGGATATTTTCACTTCTTAGTCACCAGTTTAGGTTATTAATGTAGCTATCAAAAGCTTTCAGTTTGGAAATTGGCTTATTTTATCATGACTCAGTATTCATATAACCAAAAGATTAATAAAAATAATACATTTTCTTGTCAGGTGAACTGTATGGACTCAGAAGCTTGTGCGTTCCAACATCTGTATCTTCTAAGTAAAAGTGAAAAATATCCATCTCAAACTTCCTTCCCTTCCCCCACAGCAGGGGGAAGAAAACTGTGAATTCCTCAGTGTTTGGGGTGTAGTTTCCTCAGCTTTCTGACCATACAGAACAGGGCTAATGTGTTCTTCTCTTTAGAGGGGCAGTTTTCCATATTCTGAAAGTTGTTTCTTAGTGTAAGCATAAGGAATTGCTGCTTATTGTAGGGTGTGTCAGAAGAATGACTTATCCTGGCAATTGAAGAGGATAACCTCTGGGCTAAATGGCTTTGGATAGAGGTGAGCCTGTAAGTCACAGAAAGGTCAGCGCATTGCAACTAATCTCCCTTTGCTGATGATGCCTCCCCATGATTTTTGTCCCACCTGGGCAGGTTTAGGTCTGTCTTGTGTTCTGCTGTGAAAACACTGAGGCTATTAAACCAAACCAGAAAGCGTAGCAGTGTCCCTGTGACAAAGCTGTGGTCTGTTCACTTGCCCCAGTCTAACCTTAATCCATTTTTCAAGGCTGTAGGTACTTGTTAAGCCAAATGGTAATGACAAATTTCATTAAAGCTACTGTACTTCCCACACATTGTGTGTTTTTTGTAGCCTCACCTCCAGCACTGTTGCTTGAAGACCATTGTTTGCTTTTATTGCAGCTATGAATCTCCACAAAATAAAGAGGAAAATTTCACCTCTGTACAAGGTTTTGCAATCTTTACACCTTCAGACAAAAGCAAGTAGATTAACACAGTAAAAACCAAAAGAAAGAATTTTCCCTTTGCTGCCATCTGTGTCCTCATTTGTGACCACGAGAATGTTAACGGACACATAAGTCTGAGAAAACTAAGAGTTAGTTTGTTCTCTTATACAATTATTTTGTTATAATTTCTTTATATTGAAACAAAATTACATTTACAATCTTTCTAGTAATTAATTAAACTTAGCTGAATGTTCTAACATTTTAAATTAGTTGCTGGGGATGCTTTTTGACTCACCAATCTGGGCCAAATTCCACATGCTTGACACACCTACCTAATCCCATCAAAGAGGCTACTCAGGTGCATGCAAGAGCAGGACAATATACTCTAGTATATAGGGACAGCAACACTGAGTCTTATGTCCTCTGAGAAAGTGCCACACTTCCTGCTTAGTTTTATATGTTAAATATGTGTCCTGCTTCCATCCTGAACCCAATAGGAAAAAATGCATTTTTGGTGAGTTTTAAACAGGCCAAATTCAGCTCCAGTTTTGCTTACAGCTGTGAAGCCAGCTCCCGTGGCTGTTGTGTAATAAGAAAGCGTGTACATGTTCAATTCCTGACCTATCTTTTACAGCCCATGCTGAATTATGCAAGACCTGGAGTTTCAATAGTTTCTTCCGTGCTACATGTTGGTCCTGCCCAAAGGCATTTTGAGACAAAAGCCCATATGGTTATTGAACGTGTGATGTGCAGTAAACCAGCAGGGGAAGAGGGAATGACTTTACAGGTTGTGAAATGGTTATAAATAATAATGTTCTTTCTATTGTGTAAGTCAGTCAATTAGACACAAGTACTGTCAATGTGATGATTGTTATAGTAAAGGCAAGTATATCAAGATGCACGTTGGGTTATGGCTGCCTGTAGTTCTTTTCCAACTGACTGACTTATCCATCAGTCTCTTAAAACACTGCGTTTGCAAAGTACCTCTCCCACCAAGCAACCACATATAATTTTCCTAAAATATTTTTTTATAAATCTTTACATCAAAATAAGAAAGACTGATGCAAGATATTCTGCCTTGCCATCTGGTCTCGTGCATATTACAGATTATCATGTTTCATGCTGATGTCTCTATAGTGAGCTCTATGTGTTCCAGTCCTCAGGCAACTAAAATGACATGTGCCATAGCCAGAAACATACGGAAGCCGAGATCCTGCCAATGCTCAAGACCAGTGGTGAAGCATGTAGTGGTATCTTCCCTTTCACCACCACCACCAGGTTACAGATCATAGATCTCCTGAGCCACAGGAAACACAATGTATTTAGTAACGACCAATGGGCTTTTCTTCCTTGAATTTTTCCAGTCTCCCCTTAAGCCATGTCAAGTTTTAGAGGCCATAACAAACCATGGTAATAGCACAGCTTGATTACACATTGCGTTATGTGCTAGTTTCTTTCGTTTGTTTTGCTCCTGCCAATTGCTAGCTTCTTGTGCCCTTGAATTCTTACCTTGGAAAAAGGAGAGAACATGTTATTCTACTTTTCCAGGCCATTCATGCTTCTATGGATCTGTATCATATCCCCACTCCAAGCTGAAGAGTCCCAATCTACTTAAGGTCTTCCTCGTACAGAAGTTCTTCCATGCTTCTGATCTCTTCCTTTTTGGCCCTCTCTAAACCTTTTCTAATTCAAGTCTTTGTGGTGCGATGAGGGGAAAAGAAATGCATGCAGTATTCAAGAGGCAAGTGAAACATAGCTTATACAGTGGCCTAGTGCTCTGTGTTATGTGCTCTATTCTTCTCTTAACATTTGATTTGCTTTGTTGTTTTTTTTCTTACTGCTATTGAGCATTGTGCTGACCTTTCTTGAAGCTGTCTTTTGTAACCCCAGGATTTTTTTTTAAGTGGTTGTAG